ATCTATGTATGAAGTACCGCGTAGGGGGTTAAATTTATTAACATTCATGTCTATAGATTTTATGTTTTTTAGACTCCATCCACTATCTTTTTTTTTTCAAATGCACTAATTTTAGTAGTAATTGTATCATTTAAAGATGAAAAAAAATATTTAAGTCATCTCTTTGACAAATAATATAGTTAAGCGTTTGAAAATCGAACGTATCATGAATATCTTTAGTTTGTTGAACAAGATCAGCATGCAATATGAAATTTACTTTAAAAATTATGTGTTGATGAATACACTCTTGTACTAAAAATAAAATATCATCTTCAATAGAATTTAAAAATAGTTCAGGAGTTTCAAAATTTACCAATGTCGAACTATCTACTCCACTCTTGATTTTATAAGTTAAAATCCTATTTCCAAAAGCAGATTCAATAACACTAACGTTTGATAAAGAATTATGTGAATTTAAAAGATTATTTTTGTGAACATTACTTTTAAAATGATTAGCTAAATACCGTTTCTTGATAAATATATGACACGTTAGACATTCCACTTGATCATCGTTACTGATACTGTTCCCTGCAGAGGTAGGCGCTTCTGCTTCCGTTGTTGGTTTTTTGATGATCTTGGGTTCTTTGCTGCTCGTTCGCTTGTTCCTCTTCCAAGTTGTAGTGGTTGACTACTAAAATGTTTAAATTTATTAAAAACTGTACAAGACATTCTGTAAATTATGATCGAAATGAATGTTTATTTTACTTACTTTAACTGTGTTTCAACCATCGCACAGTGATTATACAACTCATCATCATACGATGAATCGAACTGTTGATCCTTCTCCATTTCATCACAAACTTTAGACAACTCCTGATTTAATTCCCTATTGAATAGTTCCGTATTCTCTTCCATGGTTGTGGAGAAGAAAGCACTGGTGCACACTTCACTGAAGTTTGCCATACTTATAGTAAAGAAGAAAATAGGTAGCGGAGTAAGTAACAGTTCAGTGTTGGTAGACCAACTGATACCCAAATTTCAAATAATGTCCGATATTTAAGTCTAACAAAGGATTAGAAATAAAATATAATGAGTACACAGAAGTAATTTAAGTAAACAGAATCACATTCACTAATGATCAGCTAATGACTGTCGATATGAAGTTAAAAAAGTATTTTTTAACTTTTTCACTTTCTGCTATTGTCTTTGTAATATTGTATACGAGGGCGTTTGTGTTGTCGTAGATGCTATCCTTATTAGTCTTTACGTAATATTTAATCCTCGTGGAAGCATGTTTCCAATGATCAGTAGTTGGAATCTTGGATAGCTTCTTCATATCGTACATTTCAATTTTGATGAGATACGTCGCTAGGTCTCCGTCGTCAGAATTAGTAGAAATGTATGATACACCGTCTCTAGCGGCTCGTGCTACGGTTGATGATAACAGCTTCCTCTTTTTTATTTTTGATTCAGCTTCAAAAAAATGATCAATCGATTGCGATTTTCTTTTTCCACAATCGCATGTGTTATTATTAATGACGATGTCATCACTCTCTTCTTGAGGGTAGAGTGGCGAGTAGTAATACTGTTTATAGGTATTTTCATCGAAGCTCAATGATTTCTGCAACAACACAGTTATCATGTTAATATCAATTTGTTAACACTTAATCATAAAAGTTAAAGTTACAGCCTATTAAAGTCCACTGCTGAACATAGGCCTCCTCTCATTTCTGAGAGGGTTTTAGGGCTAGGAAATGTTCGCTGCGCTGCCTCAATGCGTGTTGGCAAACTTCACGTGCCTTCGAAATTTTCTCAGACATGCAGGTTTCCTCACGATGTTTTCCTTCACCGCTGAGCACGTGGTAAATCAGCACTTAAAATTGCAATTAACAATTTAATTGGTGTCGGCGGGGATCGAACCCGGGTCGCGTAATGTGAAATTTACATTTTGCGCTAACCATCTGAGCTACCACGGCTTAATCATATACACACACATAATATTTAAATATAATTTGTTAACACTAAATCATACACACGTAAGAAAATAACAGAAAGAAAAGTAAGTTTGTCAATAGAATAAACACTTACATCCATGGCCTTTGATGCGTTGAAGTAACACAAATGTAGTAATGATAGATCCACTGCGGTCAAACGACCATACACTAACTCCATGACTGCAGTTGCTTGGTCTTATATAGTACCAGTGAGTAATAATTCTAATCTAAAGAATTTCTGCAGTAGAATTGATAGTAAATTTATGCGTCAACAAGCTTATCTTACATTCTGTTGCTTATCTCAACATTCCTTCGTGCTTCCTGTCGTGTCTTGTTCATTGTATTGATGACTCAAATACGTTTTGTATAACACAAAGAATGCAATTTAATATTTAGAAATCACTATAATTGATCATTCCTATATTAGTCATTGAGTAGATTGGTACTGTAATAATCTACTAATAGCAGTAATATCATGGATACACTAGATTTACAACAACATCTGAAAAAGATTCACCCCACTCTAGAAAATAATGTTTATGCTGCCAATAAACTGCCCATGTACACCCACGTACCAACGTATATAATATGCAATTTGGATACAGATGATAAACCAGGGTCACATTGGGTAGCTTTATATATCGATACGAATGACGTCGGTCAATATTTTGATTCATTCGGACGGGCACCTGTACGATATCATCTAGAGTTTTTTAAAAGAAATTGTAAAAGATGGAACTGGAATGTTGATAGGATTCAGAATGAGTGGACTTCAGTTTGTGGCGAATATTGCTTAATGTATTTGCTATATAAGTTTCAGGGATGTTCAATGCATAGTTTTACGAGTATATTTACAGAGAACACATTGTACAACGATATGTTAGTGGATGAGATGTTTCGCTCTTATTTTATAGATAATAAGTAATAAGATTTTGTATTTTGTAAATAAAAATTTTAACAAAATTAAGTAATGTGTTTTATTGATGATTCAGATTAGTGTTGTAGATAGGAACAAAGGAGTATAATACAAAAGCATAAGCCGACCCACACGCTGACGAATAATAGATAAGGACGGTATTCAATGAACAATAGATAAGAATAATGGAGCGCTAAAGACGGCGGAGGCCTTCACCGGATATCAATTAGATAAGTTAATTGATCTGCACATCTCCGGAACCGTGCATCCTACGCAGATTCGTGATCAGAGCATGCCAAAACCTTTTTTTTTTAGGATCGTGAGTCGACGAACGTCGTACTTGTACCACTTCTGACTCAGTGAGCCAGAACTGGTACAACGTAACTACTTTTAGTTAGGTAATTAACTAATTACTTATCAGAATTAATTTTGCTTAGATTCCCAGCTTTCTTAGGTCTTACATTCCGCTCTTAACGGATTTATGGCAAGCGATTAGCGTTGTAAATGATGTATTTAACGTTACGTTTTCATAGTCTCCCATATTCACGCGTACGATGTATTAATGTGACACATCTCTAAGTTACGTCTCCCGCGCCGCCGGCACACCTTTCTTTCTTCCAACCTTGACAGACTAGAGAATCGAAATGGTTTCTTTCCTCACTAAATGGGAGTTTGGAGCCTATACTGTTTCTAGTACAAATTATACGCGGTGCTACTTCCTCGTTTTTTTCCGTGCGCCTAACCATACGTTTCCAACTAACCCTTTAAAAAATAATAGAATTATAATAAATTATAATAATAGGGTTGGGGTTCGCTGACGAGATATGTATAGACAATATTTTTATATGGTGCTAGACAAAGTTACAATGAGCAATGACGTGAATTATATGTATTTCTATAAACTCTGTATTTTTATATACATATATGGAAATGGCGGCGTAAGAGAATCCACTATCTTATGTCACTCTGTGAGTGTTGTAAGAAGCAACAGTGGGAAATTAGCAGTAGCGTAATAACAACTGAAAATAATAAAAACGTTTACCACGCGTGGCAACTGAGGCCAAAATGCCAAAATTTTTGTAACATTTTTTTAACAGAATTGTGAGTAGCTAAAGCTCTAGACATTGGTTGCAATCTTGTTTCCGTTATGAAGTATCAGCTGGAGAGTATCAAAGTCGCCTTGGTGTTGTTGCTCCGCTTGCCCCGAGCAGTTTTTGTCGCGAGCGGAATTGCCCCCCCCCCCCCCAGAATACGCGGGGCAGCTTGAGCACCCACGCTTAGGGAGAGTAGGATAACTTGGTTGTGGATGCTCAGCGAGGGATTCTTCGTTACCAGGGGTGTTGGTACCCTTCTGGGGTAGATCTCTTACATCTGCTACCATGTTAAGGGGGAGGCGGGAATTGGGCCTCCGGCCACCTGCACTCACCAAGCGAAACGCAGAAGTAACTCTCTACTTTATGCTGGTATTCTGTGAGTTTGTGGTACCACCCGGTTTGAGCCAGCCTATCCGAATCGACAGCTAAAAAGCTGCCGCGTGGCTCTACCACTGTTAAATATGTCCCAAATCGTTCTCCAAATCTGATTTTAGTATGTGGTATGTTAAGCAACTGTGCTCACGACGTCATATGTAGTTGCCAAAAAGCTTGAGCATGTTGCTCCATGAGGAGACGGATAAGAAAAGAACAATCATACTATCGAATTTTCGCAACATGTCTCATTTAAATAGTATCTTCTATAAATATAAAAGTTACAGTGCAAAGCTTCTATTCTATAAAAAAAGCTTCTATTATATCAGATACATTTACATAATATGGAGTGTTAATCGCTTTGCCCACCTTGCCTAGCAGGAGATCTTTCCTTTTTATGCAGAATGACAGCAGCAACTTTGATTTAAAACTTCTTGCAGTCTAATACTTTGCCATTGCATCAACTTCTAACATTGCAGTTTAACCTATCTTGAATTAATAAGCAATATTATTATGTTTATGTGTTCAGGTAGTAATCAGGTGCAGATATGATTGGAATTGGATTGCAAATGTAGTGTGTGAAAATGTGATACATTTTGGAATAATATATAGTTATTAAGCACTGTCAATTAAATATCAAATTACCATATACACCAGGTTTAACTTCCCGTGCTTGAATTACTTGTGTTCTTAACTCTTTTTCAACATCCTCTCCAAATTTAATCATCTGAAATAAAAATTATTCTATTAGTCATTTAAATTTTGTTCATAAATTTTAATATCAGAAATTGATTGATATCTTGTCAGTGCTATGTCACAGTCATGACAATAGTGGTCTAGTGGTTAACATGGCTCACATTATAAAATAGCAGTAAATATTTTGGAAAATTTACATTGTTGAAATATAGATTAAAACTACTTTTACGGATTTTATCGCGTTTAATTTACATTATTTTTAGTTCCCATAGTTTTGGGTGCTTTTCCAGCACCCACGTCACAGGAGGCTGGGTCCCAAAACGTCGGGAATTAAAAATAGTGTAAATTAAATACGATAAAATCCGTAAAAGTAGTTTTAATCAATGTGTAGTGTTTGGGAAAACATAAGAAATATTTAAAAAAAAATGATGTTCAAAAATTACTAATGCTCAAAAAAAAATAACGTCCAATGATCACTTCTGCTGACATAGTCACCCAAATTGTTACTTTTGATGAATGCAAAGTTGAAGATGTTTCAGTTTTATTTTAATTGGCCTTGGGCTTCCTCCAGGTTTTTGATTTAGCGTAGAACTGATGGATTCAAACTTACTTACCCGCAATCTAATGCAATAATAACAACAAAATACAATGCAATAATAACGCTGTTTTCAGTGTTTTTTGGAGAATTAACCCCGGTATCGAAAGTTGCTAGAGGATCTTATTGCTCTCTTCAATAATTTGAGGCACTTATTAAGTTCCTGCAAATTTCAAATTAATATTGTTGACACTATATCTGGGACATTGATTTAAATTGTGTAATCTCAACTCTGCGAAATAAATGCCGAACAACAGTGCAGAAATTGCCAATTTTCATATATTTTTCAACACATAACACATGTAACATATGCCCCTGAATCTCTCCTTGATGACAAAAAATTCCATGAAGCGAGCTCATTCCCCACCTCTCGCTTAATGTTTTGAAGTAATTCTTTTATTAAAATCATATGTTTTTCCGGCCTACCTTTTATTAGAAATTTTCAGCTCGGTTGCCCAGTGCCCATATAAGAGTGCCCAGAAGTTCGCTGAATGTAGGCCTCCTCCATAGATTTCCTCTTAGGAGGGATTCAGATCTTCAAGTTTTTCAGTACCTAGCTTTTATATCTTTTTTAATCTGACTGTCCACTTACTCATTTTTATTTACTTTTGATAATAAACTTCTATAAGTTCTCAATTTTGAACACACTTTTCTCTTATTTCTACAGAACATAAAAAGTCCCTTTGAAATACTTAACAAAAAAACTGTTTATTTCTCTTTAATTATGCCTTTGATATTGTGGTCACAATAATTTTAGGGTATGTTCCAAAACGTTTTCAGTATACTGCCGAATACAAGTGATGTCATCAATTGACATTATATTGTACTGACATGCCGCTGCCATATTGTGTGAGATATCCGGCTATAATAAAACAGTTTTTAATTGTGTGTGCGCTGAATGAAGAATGCCATAATTTTTTTCTATTTATTGAAATACAAAAAAATTATAGAATAATTGTTGATATCTCCATTAAGAGGCTATAATGATTTTTGGAGCACAAAATGACAAAATGATTGCCAACACTTTTCCAATATGGCGCAAATGTATGATGTTATATACTGTCCTATGTTTTGAAACGAATCACCAGTATAGCGTCGATTCATGACGTCATTTGCATTGGACAGTGGACAGGACACTGGGTTCTATTTTGGAACATACCCTTATTCATAATCAATCTTTGATCTGTCACATCTTGTCTTGATTAGAATGTTGATGTGTTTGAATTTTCCACATTGAACATTGCTGCTTTTGTACTTAACAATATATTAACAGATTGTACTCTAATAATAATAAATTGATACTTTACCTAGTAAGTATGCTAATAAAAAAATACTGATGTAAGTAAATTAAATAATAGTCTCCTTATTAATTTTACACATGTTGCCACATCATATTCTGAAATTTGTGGGATTTCTACAACATCTCAAGCCAGCAGACTGTTGGTGATGACAGTATCTCAAGTGAGCAAACAACTTGATCTTATATCAAAATTGGACCATTTTCATAGTATTGTCTAATAGTACACTTAATGTACAAAATAGCATCACTTTCACATATCAAAATCTTCCTATCATATATCATATTTCCATCCACTATTTACACAATAAAACATGATCAACAATCCACTGCAGGTCAAGTTCGCTCTAAAACTTATCAAGACATGCTGGCATGTTAATTTTGATTCAAAATTCAGTTTTTCACTTGTTTCTTTAAGTGTTTTTACACATTATCGCAGGTTATATTCCATTAGTATTTATTTTAATGTCAAGTTTTGTACTAATAGGTACGACAAATTATAGGTTGATAGGTGCATACATGCATATACTTACAGATTTAATTGATTCTTCATCTTCAACATTCTTATTATTTTTGTATTCTTGATTAACCTTAATTCTAGCAGCAGTCAACGCCCTCAAATCTCCTTCAAATACTTTCATCCTGGTGCGGTGCAATTTTTTGAAACTTTGTAGAACCTTAATAAAATTATTAATTAATTATACGAATGCGTTAGGATAAATTATTACTGCAATAATATTATATAGTATTACCAGAGCTCGTAGATTACTCATAATCTTACATAATGAGGCTATTTCTGGTAAATAGTACAGTGTTAAAGTTTACTAAAAAACAAATTTTTGTTGTTGTTATCAAAGAGGATATAATCATTGATAAACAAAGTAGAGTATCTTTTTATCATTGAGTTCTAAGTATAGTATATCACAGTATAAATTTATAGACTGTGGTATTATACTATACCACGAAAAATAACCGTAAAATTTAGCCTGATTAAAATTATAATAGCTTGCTACATATCTATTAGGGATGTTCGATGATCATCGATGTTAGAAATTAAAACATCGATGTTTTAATTTCTATTAGCCACATGTCAAGCATCGATGTCAGTGAACCAATAATCGGTTAATAAGAACTTGTGAACAATGTGAACCCGCGAAATCAATATCAACTAAATATTTTATCTCCCGTTAAAGGTTTAAAATTTTGAATAATTCAGTATTCCCAAAAGCATCGATCACCTCAAAAATACCATTATGTTGTGTCAAACTCCCTGTCAAGTGTGAACTGTAATGTCACAGTTGTCACTGCTTACGCTTTGTTATTCTGTGGTGTCGTTGTTGGTTGTCACTTATAGTTCATAAAAGATAGCTTAATCTCTGCAACAGCTGTCAGTAAAATCACGCCTATGATGTCCTGAATTTCATAGTAGTACAGACAGTACCTGTCAGTGTCCTACTTTATGGGCATGCCTACCTAATTAGCGCATGCCCATAAAGTATGATATTGACAGGTACTGTCTATATTACTGTTACGAGCTTGAGGTTCGTGACAATAAAAATTGCCGATAAAATTACCTAAATTAACACTTTAATTTACTTTACACAAATTAAAGTTAAAAACACAAATAATTAAACACACTTATTCACTTTATTCCGCTCCGAAGCTTCGCTTGTTTCGCCAAATCAACACTACTCCCATCGCATCTTGCAGCGCCTATATATTTAAATTAGCAAAGAAATATCCAGAATGTTCAAGTAAACACGCGCAAGGTACCGAGCGTTCGAGTTTCGACTAGGCGCTGTCGGTTGAGTGATTTGTGACGTCATTTTCTCAATGCTCCCCTCGCTCTCGTTCCTGACACTAGATGGCGCTAGTTGACTTATTCATGCAACACTACTAAGAAATTCAGGACTTCATAGGCGTGATTTTTACAGACAGCTGTCACAGAGATCAAGCTATCTTTTATGAACCATAATAACTATTCTTCACAAATCAATATTCAAATAAGTTGTTTTTTCCCTTACTGTCTTATACACACATAATTATGAAACAATATGTGTATACACAATTCAATTATATTTAGCCGTTTTTTGAGCTTAGGATAACGAGTTTATTGTTTGCTTGAAGTTTACGAAAATAAATCACTGGGCGATCGTGAGCAGAGACAATTTCAATGCATAGTGCATTCTACAATTCATTTTATAAACAACTGTGGATCACAAACTAATAGGAGTAAGGCTGTGGATACTTAATGCTTGGGCTGCCTGATTAAAAGTTGTGTGTTTTTCGCCAAAAACTTCTCCGCGATTATGCGCATGGAAAAGACTTGATCTGTACACCCCATTCCCTTTCTAAATGCCGCTTGCACATCCCAAATTTTTTTTAACACTAAATGTTTTATTAATTCTTTCATTTCATTAATAATAAACCATAAACAACACTACAAATTTTTTGTATCATCAAATTTTAACCTACTAAATAGGTACATGTGCAAATATCGATAACGGCCAACATCGATGTTTCTCGATCGATGATTTTATTTTTAGTTATATAATTAAATCATAATTTTGGTGGATAAAACAAAGTTGACCTACTGCATCACCTAGCAACCTGTTCCTTCGCGATGATAAGAAATAGCCGGAAGTTGAAAACATTCGTTCCGAAGGTACAGAAGTCACTTGCACTGACAGATGGTTTAAAGCCACGTTATTAAGCGGCCCCAAATGTTTATTTGTTTTCCAGTAAGTGCCAGCGACTTCTGTGCGTTTGTCTTCTCGCCCAGGGTCAATCTCGGTTTCCATATACATGCGCAGTATGTTTACTGCAGAAGCAGTCGCATTTGGAACATCAGTCTCAGTCCGTCTTTCTTTTAAGAAGTCCAAAATTTCCGGCTTCTTTCTTGCCACCTACTCAGTCGTAGGTATTGAATCAGAAGATGGGGCATCAGTTTTATTATTGGAGTCCAGTATCAGACTCCCCAACTCCCGCCTCACCTGGTCTTTAGCAGATAACATATTTTCAGGTTGACGAAAGCCGGTCCTCAAGGTCAGATGCAAATATGCAGAAATTTGTGACACAGTTCTAGTTTCGTAGGCCAACAATCTGCTGCTGATGTTACGCCGTATTGCTTAGCAGAACATCTTGCCTACATCTGTTTCCCGTGATATTTCAATGGTGTTGAGGTTTTCAAACAATCCGGAAATTACGGGAATCACTAAAGAACTCATTGGGTATTGGTCACCACTTACTAATTTAGTTGCGTCTTCGAATATACCTAAAACATTTACCACGTCTTTGACAATTTTTTTCTTCAGAAGAATTGAGGATTTCTGGCGACTGATTTACTTTTCGGCATACTAGTGCCAGTTCATCGGACACTTTTAGTATTCTGGTCATCATATGAAATTTACTGTTCCAACGTGTCGTAATATCTTGGATTAGTTTTAGGGGCTGAGCATTAGGATTTCTTTCTATTTGTTCTGATTTCAGAGTACGCCATCCAACAGACGACTTCTTAAAAAATTTTACAATTGCTTGATAACTTGTTCAATCTGTGCGAGCTCTAAGGATTCTTTGACGGTTAAATCAGGATTGACTGGCATTGTTGCCTGTGGATGACTTCTTTTGAGATGAGCCAACATATTAGATGTCCCTCCGTCTATCTTGATAATTTTTCGACATAACTGACATTTAGCCGAATCATTATTCAATTTTTCAAAATGATTTCTTGTAAGAGATTTTCCTTTTACTTTTGGTATCCTGCAAACAAAAAAATAAATCGATCAAATTAATAGGTTACTTTATAGACCACAGGTAAAATTGACATGAAAAAAAGAATTAAAAATTACATAATAATGCTAATTACCTTTTGTAGTTTCTTTTTCTTGTTATAAACAAGACACAAACAATTATTTTAGGCAATTAAATACATCTATCGCTATGCTTTGCAAAGAAAATTGCAGAATTGTACAATTGTCTCTGATCGGTAAATCCTCCATTGCTATCGGGCGACATTTTCGGGATTCCCCAACCACTGCTATTCATAAGGATTCAGATATACGTTGTAAAGTTACAGGGCTGCCAACATGCAAAATAAATCGGTTATTTAACTAGAACCGGTACATACCGGAGTTTTTAAAACCGGTTTTAAAACCGGTTGACATCACTAATTAGTACTCTTATCTCTTATTAGTTTGTGTACTTGATCTAGCGGTGGGTAGTAGCGGCTTTTTTGAGTAACGAAACGAAACTATTTATCGAATATCAATAGCGGCTTTTGAAACACTATTTTAATAGAGGGTTTTGAAACACTCTATTTTAATAGCGGCTTCAATAGAGTGTATCACGACGTGTTTAATTGAAAAACGTTGCGAATGAAACGATGTCCGTTTCATGAGAAAATTTGTTTGTTACCGTTTCGTATAGAATTAGACATGGTGTTAATGGTAAATTTATTTATTTGTTTAATCATTTCGCACGGTTTGATAAAAATATCACTCGAAAAGATTTAACAGCAAACGATTTATTTCATAATTATGATTATGATAAATTCACCCACAAGTTCAGAATAAAATATTTAATATAAGTTTGATTTTATAGCAAATAATTATTACAATGCTTGTTTTTAGACATCTCAAGCCTACATTTTTATGTAATAAATCAAATGAATACATGTATTGATGTTTTTATAGAATATTGGCCTTCATGGTCACTTGAAGTCACTTTTTTACACACACATGTCACTTTTTTACAAAAGATCTTTTTTTACAAAAGATACTACAATCTTTTGTAAAAGTCCCAAAGTACACTGGCATTACTTCGAGATATTTTTGATTACTATCACATAAAGTTTTAGTATTATTTTTACACTTAGTTACTTACACTAATTACTGTACAATTATTATTATTAACACTAATATATACAATTGTATTTAAAAATAATAATAAAATAAAAAGTTTTATTCATAACCACGGTCTGACAAATACATATATCATGGTAGACTTCTTCTATTGAGCGCATAATGCGCCCGTATCAGAAGTAAGCCCCTCTTCCATATCATAAAATTTACTAAAGCAAGAACCGCTTGTACAAATTAAAGAAAGTAAAAATAATATATATGTAGTGTGTGTGTATGTAGTGAAAGTGTAGTGTGTGTGTAGTATGTGTGTAGTGTATGTGAGTGTAATGTGTTGTGTGAAAGTTTACATACGTTTCCCCTATGCACAGCCCTACGACATAAAAGGTCTTGGGATCAGCGTTAAACCACTGAGCAGAGGTGGTAGTTACATATACAAGTACATGGAGGTTATGATGTGTGTATGTATGTAATGAGTGAGTGATTTACACAAAAATAACCTCATATCAAAATTCTAATTTTAACAAATTTTCAACTTCAATAAATTCTAATGTCTTCAGCCATTCAGTGAGTTTTAGTTTACAGTTTCTATAAGTCATAGGATATATATCTAGTATTTTATTTATTTGATTATATAAGTGAGACGAGATGTTTTTGTACTGATTGCGAGCAAATTTAGTCTTGGTGTAATTTAGTGTGGCGACTCTATCTTTTCTTCTTTTAGTTAAAATATTGGTGTCAACATTAAAGGACATATGTTTTTTCAGAACTACGTGCAATATGTATAGTTTACGAACTGTCAATAAATCTGCATATAAATACAATGAATTTGTTAAAAACTGACGTGTTTTGAAATACATAATTTTTAATAATCCCCTTTGAGCTCGTTCTAATTGTATAAAATGAGTTTTTACTGCACCACCCCATATCGTTATACAATAAATCAAAACAGATTGTGCCAACGCAATATAGATCTGATCAAGTAACTTTTTACTTGCAACGTGTCTTAGTGTTTTAAAAATCCACATTAATTTACGTAATCTGCTAGAAACTAATTCGACATGAGACACCCATGAAAGTCTCTGGTCCACTAAGACACCAAGGTACTTCGTAGAAGTTAGTCTAGTTATAGTGGGGCAGTCGCAATTCGTGCTAACTAGCGGCTGACAGCAATGAATCTTAATATCACTGGGAAAGTCAGGCAGACTGTTTTTTATGGAAAACAAAATATAGTTTGTTTTGATGGTATTTAATGTTAGTAAGTTAAGACTTAGCCATTGCGAAATCACAGCCAAACCGTACTCTGTATTCATCTTTAAATTGTTCAAGGAGTCGCCTGTAAACACAATGGCAGTGTCGTCAGCATATGAGAATATGCTAGCATGAGGGATCTTCATATTGCAGAGTTCGTTTACGTATATTAGAAACAGGGTGGGCCCTAAGACGCTTCCTTGCGGTACGCCATAAGTAAGACCAGTTTTTTGACTTATATATGAACCTTCTTATTTTACTAAAAATATTATTATTATTGCACAAAAAGAAAACAAAAATATTAACAAACGCGCCTAAAAAGTAAAAACAAACCGTGTCATTAAACTTAAACGCAAGACTAATTTAAACCGGGCCAAGGCCACTTAAATTATGGAATTTGAACTATTTTTTGTTAAAAACATGCACACTTACTTTCTCATTTCTAATATCGCATCTATACGAAGGGAATAGTCATAGGTCAAATGCAAAAGCACCCGCGCTCACTCGACATTCGACGACCGGTGGTACTTCTACCACAGCGTAAAGAGTCGGTTTCTTTACTCATGTGCTTCTACTTCAACAGCCGAAGCCGTCGCCGATGCGTCGCGAAAATAGCCGAATAAACGTTTTGTTATTGTTACTGATCGCTCGTTCGTGATTCGTGAAACGTGAATCGTGTTACTGAGTAAAACATCTACTGTAATAGATAGTTTCGTTGCACTGCAATAACCCGCTACCCGCTATTGTGTGAATAGATAGTTTCAGTAACTAGTTACGTTTTGTAACGACCACTCCATAGAGGAAAGTAATATATGGACCACTCCTAACTTTATCATGCTTGATCACGAAGACTATTATTTTTTAATACAATATTATATATGGAAACTTGATTAATATTATCCACAATAGTTCTAGCGCATGATAACCATTTTTTGGAAATAGAGAAAATGATATTAAATTTATAACGTCTATCTAAAAATGTGCTGAGTAGTTTTTGTTTATTTCTGCTAAAGTTCTTTATTTGTTGTAATTGTATACCTCAAAATGTCTTTTTCCGTGTACTTGTTGCAGCTGGTGGCATTTTTGGTTTGTTTTTTTATTAAACGGATTTTTCCTATTTAAATTAAATTTAAATTTTGCGCTGTTCTTTATTTTTCCTTTAATTAAATTTTACGAACATTTCGTTTACTATTTTGATGTTATTATACATTGTATAATTAAATAAGGTTTTAAATTCCAGGATTTATTGGCGGTTGGTCTAATTGTTCCTTTATTACCAAACCATGTCAGACAGATGGGAGTAAATCATATATATGTCGGTTTGCTTGGTTCCATATATTCTGGATGTCAGTTAGGGTCTGGCCCTCTTATAGTAAGTATTTTAAATATTACTTAGATCAAACACTGCCAAAAAATTATGGATAGACATGCCCAAAAAAGTATGCTAAACCTGCTTAAAATTATCGTGCTCTTCAACTGTTCACATTTGCCAGCAATAAGTTTTACACTTAAATCATACTTTGGACAGACATGCCATTTGGCACCAGGCTTTCGGCCAAAATGGATGTACAAAGATATAGTGACAGTGCAGTACAGAACTCAATTTAAAATAAAAAATCCAGCATTGGGGAAAAGAAAAAACTTTGCTTTTTGTTCCTACACATTTCTGTTGCAAGCAATATGATTTTTGACTCAGCATCTGTCTCGGAACAAGATTGATTCAATAATAGCATGCTCATAAGCAAACCTGTTCAAATGCGCTCAGAGCACACCCCCTTTACCCCGCACCTCAGGTAGCATGCTCAAAAATCAAACGGCATGCTGTGACACTCAAAACATGCATGCTGGGACACAAATGCTACTAATGAGCACTTTCTCAATAAAAGCATGCTTTCGTGCTAGTAATGAGAACCTTTGTCTGTACTTTATGGTGAATGTAAACATTTCCAGATTTGAAATAAAATTTGCTTTTCTAAAAAAGGATACCACTGTGTAATAAAATTCTTTATTTATTCTTAGTTTATATTGACTAAAGCTTTATAGGGAAGATAATTTAAATTAAATCTATAACTTTAGGTGGAAACACGATATACCATTTTTTTAAATAGAATAAAGTTGGCTAACAAGCACACAGTCCACCTGATGGTATGTGGATGCAGTGACCCGTAGACCGTAGACATCTACATCTATTCTCGATTTAAAAATCAACATGCAGATGTGTTGCCACCCCTGAGGACTAAGATGGAATGCCTTGTTTCCAGTAAAAAAGGCCACCTATTCCTTACACCTACCATATTAAACAGGGCAGCAATGAGCTGCCATTTTATGCTGGTACTCTGTGAGAGTGTGTCCTTCCCTGGTCAAGCCGACCCATTTATGCTAAAACCACGATATACCTGCAGCATGGCTCCACTATGTAAAAAACATTGAAGGGATCGTTTTGCTAAATACATTACTGCCAATATCTAATATTCATTGTACGCAATATACATTTTTTAATATTAATGAAAGTTAAGCTCTTACACAAGAAATATGTAAATGGACTGGTTTGTAAACGAAATGACAAATTATTAAAAAATATTATTTATATTGTGAAAAACTTACAGCTACACTTAGTTTTTAAAATTACTGGACGTTTTTTCTAATGATTTTTTTTTAACTGATTCTAAAAATTATTCATGTGCTGTTGGAAATTGTATCATTCTAGTAAGATGTCTATTGACTGATAATATAGACATATCTTTGAAACCTGCATGCCGTACTGCAGTTGGCTATAGTGTTTTGTCTGACCTTTTCCCGAGCATCCAATATCATTAAAATTGCCTCCAGAATACTACAACTTCATGTGTTTTTGCCATTTTTTAGTTATAAAAGCTCTAAGCCTGAATCCCAAGGAGTGAGGAGTGAGGTTGTAATACTGAGGTGACTTAGGGTGATAAAAATACAAGTTTTGTGAATTTTAGACTGAGGACTACGGGGTGAGCAGGGCAGTTGTCAATTATGAGAAGAATTTTATTACCTCTTGTTTTCATGTAATTTTTCAAAAATATGAGATGATCATCTAGGACTTATTTTAATATGTAACAGGCAGTGATTGAATGATCTTTAAACATCATGGTTTTTTTTGCCTTTCCAATCAGTAAAAGATTTTTGTGTTCCAGTCATGTTTGCAGTTAACAACACCATAATTCTCGTTTCGATATTTAGATAATTTCCTACTTTTAACTGTTTTGTCAGTGTGTCAATAGTTAAGTCCAAGTGTACACAGCAAAGATAATGTTTAATCAATATGAACAGTATGCACAAGATAGATAGATAGAAGAAATAATATAATAATAATAGATCACAGAATCACATTGATAGCATAAGAAGATCATAGATTCATGGACTTAGATATCAATAGGTGCTACGGTTAGCCAGGCGACATTGGCTTCACATGCAATGTCAGTGAGCAAACTGGCAAGTGCTAGATGTGCAGCTCCCAAACGAAGTACTATTGAGAAATAATTCTTGGCACTGTACTAGGATGAACTCTTGCATTAACATACAATTTGGTTACTAGTATATAGGTACTTAATTCGCTCGGATCGAGAAATGAAAGTAACAAGTCATGTGAAGTAAAGAATCTATGCTACACCTACCGAAAAAACTACATTAATACATTTCATTGCATTGTATCGCATGGGTTTTAGGAGTAGAGTGAATGAGTCTACTACAACTGTTTATATCGTATTCACATAATTGTGTTAGGGAATTTATAATTTTATGCCAATTGATAAATTGTCAATTTTTCTTTAATAAGCATTGTTTGCGAGGTTTCCTGGGAATAATTCACAAGCTACTGATATTTTTATTTGCTTATCACCCTAAAAGATTTCATGAGTGTTTACTGTGTTACTATGTTAGGTATTGGATTTTGTTTTATTTTAAGGCTTTTGTCATGGTGAATTTAGAGGCTGTAATGAATGGATGGATGATAATTAGGTCTTAAAATAAAAAAGTGTATTTTTGTTTCCAATATAGGTATATCCAATATATTTCCTATCTAATTAGACATAATTAATTATGTATAGCATTTGCTTTATGAAGTGTCTAAAATTGTAAAAAAAATAAGTATATTTTAATTTAATTTTTGGGGCTTTTTAGGGCAGCCTTAGTGATATAAAAGGTCGTAAAACAATATTGATGATGACATTGCTGGTGTGTGCAGGAGCATATACATTTTTAGGAATCACTACTTCAATTGCAGTTATTTTAGTTTTAAGAGCAATTTTAGGTAATTTTTTTTTAATTTATACATTTCTTAATTAGTAAAAAGTTTTGTAGTAGGTATAACAGGATTATTGTTAAAAAAATTTCTTACAGCAACAACTAATGACAATCTAAAGAATTTTTAAACATTGTAAATATTTTTCAGGCTTATTTAAACAGACTCAGATGTTGACAAAAGCCCTAGTGCCAGATTATGAGAGTAATCATCTAAAGCAATCTGTTATATATGGTAAAATGGCTGCCATATCAGGCATTGGTATAACTATGGGACCTGTTATAGGAGGGCACATAGCGGAAGACAATCCTGAACATGGTTTTATGTATATTACTATTACTGTTGGTCTCTGCTTTCTTATCAATGCAGGTAAAAGCATCATTGTTTGTAAAACAATTTTTGTTTTAGTTTTTGTTTGCACAGATTATTTGTAGAAAGTATTCAAACCCCTGACTATGACCAAAGAATAGTTATCTCATATTTACAACTTTATTGTATATGGACAAAGGAAAATTGCAAATCTATATGTGAAGGTACATCAATCCTATTTAATAGTCTTCTGACTCTTGGAACCAGAGCTAAAAGACAAAATTATTTGCTACTATGATTAATAAACAGATGCGACATGCTTTATTTTGATTTATAATAAATTATAATCCATCCTTTTTCATTTCGTAGAATTCTAAATACTAGACCAATTTTGACCTCATCAGTCTTTAGTTTTAATTTACTTTTATATTTGACATTCATAGAGATATTTTTTTAGGTATTGTACATTTCCTTCCAAATTCCAACAAAAAATCTACAATAATTGAAGTAAATCATGAAGAAAAATCAAGACAAGATGAAAGTGTTTTCAATAAAATAATGAAAAGCAGCAAACAATCTGTGATAGAGTTATCAAAGATACCATGGGCAGAATATTGGGATGTATTTTTTCTTAAAGCATTAATTAGTTTTAGCATGGCTGTTTATTTTTCCAATTACTCATTGTATTTGAAAACTGTATATGAGCTTTCACCAAAATATATAGGATATATTATATCGTTCCAGGGTGTTATAGCATCATTATCTAGTTTTTTTATTGGCCATATTAGTAAATTTTACTCCTATGATAATGACTATACAGTGAGAAACTTACATATGTTTATACTTGTAAGTGGATCATTAATAGGAATGATTTTAGCCACAAATGTCTTTATTTACATTGTTTGTTTGATTCCATTAGCCATTGGTAGTGCTGTAGGTAGGCTAGTGTCCTTAGAAATGATTTTAATAAGAAGTAAAGGAAAACATAGAGGCACACTTATTGGAGCTACACACAGTGTGACATCTTTATCAGGAGTTGTAGCCCCTATGGTGGCAGGGTTTATTGGTGAATATTTTGGAGTTTCTTACGGATTATATGCGTCATTATTTTCATCACTGCTTGGAATTGCATTAAGTTACCAGTACAAGAAGAGCAAAATCGAGTAGAGCTAAATTCCTGTTGTATGAAATGTTGTTATAGGTTTAATAAATTTATATTTTTTTGTTTTAACAATAACGAAATTATTTATTAACCCTCTATTGTTCCCAGAATCTGTAAAGTGAAAAAAGATTATGACTAATTAAAAAAAGAAAAAAATTTGTAGTGTAACAACTATATTTATGTCCAACAGTTAGGTACATGATATCTATAATAAAATAACAATAATCACTCTCCCTCTAAAGCTCGAATTTGTTTTTTTCTCATATCTTGGATTAGTTTTTGAATGTCTTCTCTGTCTTTCTTGTTTTCGGGAGGGAAGATCTGTCTTTTAGTGTTTGTTACCCATTCCTCAAAATATTTGGGCTGGTTAAAGAAAAAAAATAGTCCTACTGGAAACGAAGTATACATAGCCATTCTTCCTACTTCTAGTTTCCAGTTACCCATTATGTTCCAAAGTATTTTTCGAGATCTTACAGCAAATTTTTCTCTAGCTCTAATCTGTATTGACAGTTTACTTTGACAGCGACGGGCAGATGAAATGACTGACTGATGACTGATAGATTAGGTGGTTAGTGATGCTAGCTCAAAAAATATTATCTGCACAAACATAGGCGTACATACCTGGGTGTAAGTCATTTGACTAATTTCTAATCATGGAGGTTGGAAAACAGGAGAACGGTTGCTGTAGAAAATAGTGTCCCAGAAATATGGATAAAATAAGCGAGGCACTGTGATTGCTAAGTTGTCTCAATAAAAGCGGGCTGTTGTGCGCTAGTTTCAAATGATTATAATATCATTCAAAGATAATAAGGAAATTATTATTTCTTAATTAATAAATTATTTTTATAATTTTAATTATTATAATAAAATAAAACTAATATAAAGTATTAATTTTTTTAATAGTATTTCACCATGTTTTAATGTTTCTTTTCCTCAAAAGTTAAAAAATTACTTCGCGGACACTACATACCAACGACAACGAGGCTATAAATTCTACAAATTTTCAGGGACTAGCGGGCTATGCTTTAGTACGTAGCGATCGTTCTCCTGTTCTCCAACCTCCATGTTTCTAATCATGGAGGTTCTCCTGTGCTCTAACCTCCATGTTTCTAATCGTAAAAAAATTAATAATATTTAATAATTTTTATTTGTAATAATTTATAATATTTATACAACTTAAAACTATAAAAAACAATTTATAATTCATTTATAAATAACTAATAATAATAATGCTGTTAGTTTTTCTTTTTTTCTTTAAAATGATTACATCACAATCATTTCAAACTAGCGCACAACAGCCCGCTTTTATTGAGACAACTTAGCGATCACAGCGCCTCACTTATTTTGTCCATATTTCTGGGACACTATTTTCTACAGCGATCGTTCTCCTGTTCTCTAACCTCTGTGTTTCTAAACAAACCAAGCTTTTTTTGCTAGAACCCAGAGCCGTAGAGCCAGTTAATAAAAAAAACAAGCTTTTTTTATTAACTGGCTTTACGGCTCTGGTTTCTAGACCTTCTGAGCCCATCCTTTCTTTTCGAATCTTCATTTTATGTTCTTTTTCTTCACAATATGATGATGCATCACATTGCGAAGCCCTTGGGAGATTTTGACGACAGCTCAACCTAGCGGACAGTTGATGACGACAGCCACTCAAGTTCATAAGGCGCACAAGCGATCAAAATAACTTGAGGTTTACATCGACATCAAAGCACTTGTTTCGTCGTTTTCTCTAATAGTTCACACGCGCGGACACATAATTCACAAAATCGCATCACTTTTACGAATCAAAATTCACTTCAAACCATTATTCAAGCGACAATACAGGAGCGACAATCCATCTACGGCCATGTTCCCGCCAAAACCTCAAACCAAGCTATAACATTTCTATCATGGAGTATAGAGGTAAGAAGAAGAATCTCCCATATTAGGAGAATAGTTAAAAATGTGTTCATCAGTAAGCAGTAAACAACTGTTCAAAAACTCCACAACAGCGCTCGAGTAGCTACAGGGTATGAAAAATTGCCGTAAAATAGGTACGATGAGAGTGGTTTTGAATATAAAATTTTTTAAAGCAATAAAATAACTATTGTAAAAGTATTATGGTGAAAGTCTGTACAATATTAATGTCCCGAGAAATTATGCAATTGGATCACCAGCTTTCTTGCAGATCGGAGCATCAAGGTCGTTGTAGACAGTGCAATACCAGTCAAAAATATTATAAAATAAAGTTAAATAACGTTTATAAGATAATTAGAAAATTTGTTAAAAATTGTTAAAGTCATGGGAGGTGTTCGTGTATAAAAGAAATTTTTTCTAAGTTATGGAAGGTGTTCACGTATAGACGTCTTGTATGGAGGAAGCTGCCGGAGGTACATACCTACAGTTGTACATATATATGGGGTGATCGGGAGCCCGACTGCCTGAAGTACTGTAGCACAATGACTAGTCCTATATTAGGGACTTACGATATTAAACTCAATGATACAAAAGCAATACTAAGGAAGGTCTCCATGATGAATTTGCTTTACAATAGTAGGGTCGTGGGTTCGAATCTTATGCCGGCTGTACACGCTCGTCGAGACACCACGAGACATGCCTAGAGGTGAGCATTATTTAACATAATCGGTTTCAGAAACTGCTTACGAGCTTGATAATCGTATACCTAGTTCGTGGACAAAATGTAATGATTATTTTACGTACGCAGTTGACACACACCACGACCGGCGCTCGCGTAAGCGTTTCGTTTTGAATAGATTATTATTAAGATGAATATAGGTAGGTACGTAACACGATATACGACTCGCACAACGAGAGTAAAGAGTCCCTTCGGGATAGTTAATGGCTTACACGCAAGATGTGGATCATAAAAATTATGTGATGTGATGGACAATAATACTTAGGCACTTACATATTTTGTGACCATAAAATTGTACAAAAGTACTAATATTGACGATGTCACGCGCATATTATAATTATAACACCTATAAAATGTTATATATTCGTAATCATAATCATAACATAACACAGTTAAACTAATGTTATAATACCTATAATCTGTTAATATTTTTGTAATAAAACCTAACACAAACACAGAACTACGCTATACTGTATTGTATACAGATGTATGTAGCGTTGCCAGGCGTCCGGATAAAGGCGGACACAGTCAGGCTTTTTGTTTGCGTGTCCGGCCAAATTAGACGGTGTCCAGGCATGTCCGGCATTTGTCAGGCTTTTTATATTTGACCATTTTTTTACATTTTTCATGTACTTAAATACATACTACCTATTGCCATTATTGAAACTAATATTGTAATTAATATTGAATGATTAATAATAAAGAACACTGATTCTTTTAATTTAAGATTTTGTAGTAAATGATATAAGGTTAGCATTGTTTTACTTTAAAAAATATATTATCGTGTTATACTAAGACTGAATAATTAAGGGTGTCCGGCCTTTTTTACCAAAATGTCTGGCAAAGCTGGATGGTCTGTTCGGCTTCTCGGTTTAAAGACCTGGCAACCCTAGATGTATGTAGCTCATGGCGGCTGAACACGCTCATCTCGTCACCTCGTGTGCCTCTCGTCACGTAAAGGCTCGACGGAGAACACACCATGTACACACTCGTTGTATCATTTGAAGTTTGAACTCCATATGCCCGCTTGCTGCGTTTTGCCTTTGAACTATTATATTTTTTACACATTTACTAAAAATAAAATTAATAACCCATTGCTAAGAAGGAGATGGTGGATAGTTTCTATTAATTTACCGTAACAGTACCATGTACGGTGAATAGAATAGTGTATAGCTTGCGGCTTGCGCCACGAAAGATGAACAGTGCGGTGCGGTATGACATACGGGGAAGCGAAACCATAGCAACGGGCGACGCGCTAGCTCCAAGTAGTGTCTCCCTGCGTCCAGTCACCCGCGCACATACTTGTGTCGTCTTGCGTACTATCGATATCGAAAGTGTTAGCGACTACCTGTTATACAAAAAAATATATATAAATAAAGTAAATAATTATTCAATAAACCTGGCACTTAAGACTTAAATATTGATATCGGTATTAAGAGTATGAAATATTTTATGAGATTTGTAAAACTTAGCAGGATCTATTGAAAGATGACTGTAATTATGTAAAGAAAAAGAGAGGTTCAACTAGTCCCGGAAAAAACACATGTTTCTTCATAAATTTAAGTACATATATATTTTAAATGAAATTAAAAAAAAATGAATAATATCATTAAACACTGTATTTAATAAACTTTCTTACAGTGTATTACACTTCTTTACTACATTATCATCAAAAAAAAAAGTTATTAACAATAAAATCACGTATGTCGTCTTGAGACAAAACAGAAATTACAAATACAAAATATTTTACCTCTTTAACTAAGTGTACACAAAATACAGAATATTCTTTAGCAGCAATTAAAACCTAACGATTATATATAAGTACGTTTTCGTAGAGACTTTGATGTATAGTTATAATGTCGACCTTTGACTTTTTACATATTAAAATGTCATAATACAGTTTGCATTTTTCTGCTTGATTATACATGTTATACACGTTAAGTAATATCATCATTCGCTCTCGGTATTCATCGCGATACCTACGAGACCCTTTGACTCGAGCGCAAAAAACCGACACGCTTCCGAGAGCGCACGAGGGACACGAGACGCGACGCGACGCGACGAGAGCACCCTGTACACACTCGTACTCGCCCTGTCTAGACATGGGTCGTAACGTCTTGGACGTAATCGGTTGTACGTAGTTTCGTGGATATGAGTAACTAGTTTCAAAACTGCTTATTTTTGTAATTAGTTACATATGTATACAGTATAGCGTAGGTTAGTTTTGCGTTTGTGTTATGTTATAATTACGAAAATATTAACATATTATAGGTAGGTATTATAATATTAGTTTAACTGTGTTATGTTATGATTACGAATACGTAACAGGTTATAGGTATTATAACATGTGCGCGACATTGTCAATATTAGTACCTTTGTACAATTTTATACAGTCACAAAATATGTAAGTATTTAAGTATTATTGTCCATCACATCACATAATTATTATGATCCACATAATACACAAAAATTAACTTAA